AAAAATGCGTGAGCCGGGGGCTAAAAAACTGTGAGCTAGCTCACACTCACTCAGCTTAGAGGGAACAATGGTCACCAATGTCAATGTTCCCTGTAAGCTGTGGAGTCTTGTGAGCAAAAATTCTACTTTGGGAGCTGCTGGCATTAAAGTTGTGAGCGAGCAACTTGGCTACTGCGTAAATTAGCTTGCTCTGGAGCCCTCCCTTCCTGAGCCAAGACAAAAATGTGTGAGCTGGAGGCTTAAAAAACTGAGCTAGCTCACACTAACTCAGCTTAGAGGGAACACTGGTCACCATAACTCGTCTGTGACTTGATGGCACGTTACACGCACTTCTCTCTTTCTCTCTCTTTCTCTCTCTCTCCCCCCCCTCCTCCCTCCCTCCTCGCCCCCATGCCACAAACGGCTAGCAGAAGTCTACACGGACCTCCAGGCTTGTGAAAAAGTTCGGCGGGCCCGTCATTTTTATTTCGTATCTGAAGCTGCTTTGAAAAAAGCTTCCTGCTAAGCGGGACTCTGACCCAGCCCGGTCTGTAATACTCCGCACGCAACGGTGAACGCCAAGCTTTGTGGTCAGGTCAGGTCAGGAGAGCGGGCAGCGTTTCGGGAAGCCAGGAGAGGGCAGTGGGTGTGACCGTGTGGCAGAGATCTGGGCAAAACACTTCCTGGTGCGATTACAGGTGCTGGAACGGTGCCACGGGAGGCAGAGTTGACGCAGTGCGGCCGCTGAGAGAATGAAACGGCAACCTGGCCGGTTATTGCTTCTGACCTCACCCGTAGGGAAGTCGTTCTTGTATCCTCCCTTCGGCACAGTGGGCTTAGGGTACCAGCCTACCTTACAGGGCTGTGATGAAGATTACTGTGGCAACAGACAGGAGGAACTAGCACTGATAGGTCCCCCCTAGTCCCCAGCAGGAGGGGGAGGAGGAGGAAGAAGAAGAGGAGGAGGAGAAGAAGAGGAGGAGGAAGAAGAAGAAGAAGAGGAGGAAGAAGAAGAAGAGGAGGAGGAGGAGGAGGAAGAGGGGAAAGAAAAAAAGAAGAAAAAGACAAAGAGAAGAGAGAGAAGAAGAAGAGGCGGAGGAGAGGGAGAAGAAAAAAGGAAGAAAAAGACAAAGAAAAGAGAGAGAAGAGAGAGAGGAGGAGGAGGAAGAGGGGGAAGAAAAAAGGAAGAAAAATACAAAGAAAAGAGAGAGAAGAAGAAGACGAGGAGGAGGAACAAGAGGAGGAAGAAGAAGAAGAGGAAGGAAGAAGAAGAGAAAGAAGAATAAGAAGATGAGGAGGAGGAAGAGGAGATTGGATCTCTACCCTGCCCTTCACTCGGAGACTCACGGCGGCTTACCATCTCCTTTCCCTTCCTCTCCCCACAACAGACACCCTGCGAGGTCGGTGGGGCTGAGAGAGCTCTCTCGAGGACTGCTCTTGAGAGAACAGCACGGAGCGGACTTGTGACTGACCCAAGGTCACACCGGCAGCTGCATGTGCAGGTGTGGGGATTCAAACCCGGTTCTCCCAGATTAGAGTCCGCACTCTTAACCACTACACCAAACTGTCTCTCCAAGGGCTCCCAGGACAGGGACCCCAGTGGGGCACAGTGCCACAGAGTCCATCCTCCAAAGCATCCATTTTTCATCAGGGGAACTGATCTCTGTACTCTGGAGATGAGCTGTACTTCCAGGGGGTCCCCACATCCCACCGGGGGGCTGGCAGTTTTAGGAGGAACTCCGAATGCCAAAAGCGCTCTACAAGTGCTAAGGGAAGCAAGCGCCCTACAAATGCTAAGAGCAGAGTCAAGGGCCTCGTTTCACCTGCCAGGCTTGCCGGTGTACGCCTGCAGTCGCTCCTTCACTTCGTCATAGGTGAGAAAGGCCATGTATCCAGGGTGGGTCACCGCGAGGTACGTCCAGTTCTTCAGCAGTGTCGGCCACGGCTGCAGGGAGAAAGAGACCAGGAAGTGTTTGAGAGCTCTTTTCGCATGCTGGCGGCGATGGAGTAACGCCACCAAAAAAAGCAGCTTAAAAGAAGAAGGTTCAGAGACTTGCCTTGGAAAATGGTTCAGGTGTTGTCTAAATTCTAGGATGGCCAACTCCAGGTTGGAAAATTCCTGGAGATTTGGGGGGGGGGTGGAGACTAGGGAGGGCGAGGTTTGGGGAGCAGAGGGAACTCAATGGGGTATAATTCCATTTAAGTCCACCCTGCAAAGCAGCCATTTCCTCCAGGGGAACTGACTTCTGTCGCCTGGGAAGTCTCCAGGCCTCACCTGGAGGGTAGCAGCCCTAGAGAGGGCGCATAGCCTTTCCCACTAGCTCAGAGAAAGCTGTCTCTCCAATTGTGCCAGACAGCTGCCGGTCACTGGGGTGAGGGTGGTTGTCTTTTTCAGCACAGTTCCTGCACTTTTGGCTCCGGCAGTAAGGAGCCCAGTGGGCGGGCACATGCAACAAGCCCCGCCCCCTGCTCCCAGCAGCCCTCAGTCGGGCCACAAGGAGCAAGAAGCAGCCAGGTAAGTTGCAGAGCCCCCCCCCCGGCCCGCCTTCAGGTACAAGCTCTCCCTCCTCTGTGAGG